GAGCATATTAAACTAACCTGTAAGCATGCTGTGAGTCATAAAGAAGCAGGAATTTGGGGGCACTTGGGCGGCTCAATTGTTATATGTCTGCCTTCCGCCCAGGTCATGATCCCAGGGTGCTGGGATGGAGCCCCGCATCAGGCTCCCTGCTTGGCGGGAAGCCTGCTTATCTTTCTCCCACACTCCCTGCTTGTGTTCCCTCTCTCACTGTGTCTCTGTCAAATACATAAATAAAATCTTTTAAAAAAAAGGCAGGAAATTTTATAGTCATGTTTCCTCTTAGATTACTAACATGAACACAAATTAGTGCTTGGAACTGAAACGAACCATGTAAAATAATCTAGTTTCATCTTTTTTATTTATTTTGTAAGACTTATTTGAGAGAGAGAGTGTGTGTGTGTGTGTGTGTGTGTGAGCAGGGGGAGGGGCAGAGGGAAAGAATCTTCAAGCAGACTCTCCCCTGAGCATGGAGCCCAATGTGGGGCTCCATCCTACCACCCCCCCAAGACATAACCTGAGCCAAAACCAAGAGTAGACAGCCTCTAGTTTCATCTTTTTAGGCAAAGAACTCTGCACAAAACAACTGTAGAATCTCAATGAGAAACATCATTTTTTTTTTTAAGATTATTTATTTAGGGCGCCTGAGTGGCTCGGTTGGTTAAGCAACTGCCTTGAGCTCAGGTCATGATCCTGGAGTCCCAGGACTGAGGCCTGCATCGGGCTCCCAGCTCCACGGGGAGTCTGCTCTCTCTCCCTCTGACCTTGTCCTCACTCATGCTCTCTCTTTAAAAAACAAAGATTATTTATTTGAGACAGAGATTGAGAGAGCAAGAGCACGGAGGTGGGGAGCTAGGGCAGAGGGAAAGGGAGAAGCAGGTTCCCACTGAGCAGGGAGCCTGATGTGGGCTCGATCCCAGGACCCTGAGATAACAACCCGACCTGAAGTAGACGCTTAACCCACTGAGCCACCTAAAAAGCATTTTCTTGCAAAAGCCAAATACTAAGTACTTGGCAGGTGCTTTACTAAAAGTCCGGAAGACTTAACCCAGCATGCACTCAAAGACTTCATACAAGAATTTTGATCAAACTGCATTTATAATGTTGACAATTTGGCAACATCCTAAATGCCACACAGTAAGGGATTTTTAAAAATAATGCATCCTTTTTTTTTTTTTTTTAAAGACTTCATTTTTAAGTGATCTCTGCACCCAGTGCGGGGCTGAGCTCACAACCCCGACACCAAGAGTTGCCGGCTCTCCCGTTTCAGCCAGCCAGGCACGTCCAGAAAGGGAATCATTACTGTACATTCTTCCAGTGCAAGAGTAAGGGGCTCCTAAGACGTGTGTTTCACAGACATTCCAGAACATGGAAAAGGCTCATGGTCCAATGTTAGAGGGAAAAATGCAAAAAGCAGTTTCTCAAGTGTCCTTGAAGCTAGAGGGAGACTGTTGCAGGAAAATTCTTATCCATCAGAGGTCAGGTAATTTTTCTATTTTTTCCCCTAATTCATCAGTTTCTAAAATTTTCTAATCAGGGGCGCCTGGGTGGCTCAGTGGTTAAAGCCTCTGCCTTCGGCTCAGGTCATGATCTCAGGGTCCTGGGATCAAGTCCCGCATCGGGCTCTCTGCTCAGCAGGGAGCCTGCCTCCTCCTCCTGTCTCTCTCTGCCTGCCTCTGCCTACTTGTGATCTGTCAAATAAATTAAAAAAAAATCTTTTAAAATTTTCTAATCAAATGAATATTTGAACTCAGAAAATGTTTTTCTTTGAAAATGAAGTTTACGTAATGTCCAAAAACAGTAGTAAATTTTAACTCCACTGAGTGCCTTTTTGGTGTAACAATTACCTGTCCACGTTGCTCTGACTGCACTTTTTCTTAAAAACGCTGATATAGATATTAGCAAGTCTATCCCTGCAGCCATATTAAAGGACCTGTCTTTGAGCCATGGGGTAAGTAAAATATCGTTTTACACCCCAAACACTTGCGGCATTTATTTCACAACGCGTCAAGAAGGAACCTGAAGTCCTGGTTAGCCAGATCAACACCAGGGCACATTTAACTGAAATTCAGAACGCATTCTCAGTGAAATATTGCCTCCAGGAAAAAGGGTCTTCTATTCCTGTGGTTTTACACACACTCATTCATTCTCCCCTCACTCCCCCATGGTGATTCCTTCAGATGAAGGGTCAGCACAGAGCACGAAAGCAATTGGGAAAATATTTCTCACCTCCCATCTTTTTTTTTTTTTTTTAAGATTTTATTATTTATTTGACAGATCACAAGTAGGCAGAGAGGCAGGCAGAGAGAGAGGGGGACTGAGCTGAGAGCCTGATGCAGGGCTCGATCCCAGCACCCTGGGATCATGACCTGAGCTGAAGACAGAGGCTTTAACCCACTGAGCCACCCAGGCACCCCTCGTCGCCCATCTATTTCAGACGTCAGCCCCTGCTCTGACCTGCGCGGGTTCTGTGTTTTTATTTTTTGAGCGTGCTTTTCAGCAGCAGCACACTTGCTTTTGGAAGCTGTGCTTACTTTGTCACCAGCCCATCACTCCACCCCAGTGGCCCTGCTTTTTGGGTTGGATGCTACGGGGTAGAGGAAGCTTACTGTCTCATGACCAAGTCTGCAAGGTTTGAGGAATATCCACGATTTTCCAGGTTGGACCTTTCTGGATGCGTTTTCCTGTAATATTGTAGGTGTTTCCAAACTGCAATTACATTCTATTATTATGACGAGTTTTTTAGTCTGGTCTCAACATTTTAGCAGTTGAAAGCTGAAGTATGTTCGAGGTGACAAGAAATTTTTACTTTACGTAGTATTTAAAATAAGGTCCTGCCTGGATGATGTTATGCTGTCCTGAGGCAAGTCCTCTGGGGATCAGTGGGGTTTGAGAAGAACATTTTGCCCTCTCCAGGTATTAGCTGACATGTCACTGTTGCTCCTGGCTCTGTGAAGCAGTCCACCCACCGTCTTTCCTGTGGAAAGGTCCCATCCATTGGTGGATAGATTCTGATGCCACTATTTTTTTTTTAAAGATTTTATTTATTTGACAGAAAGACAACAGTGAGAGAGGGAACACAAGCAGGGGGAGTGGGAAAGGGAGAAGCAAGCTTTCCCCAGAGTGGTGAACCCCATGTGGGGCTTGATCCCAGGATCATGACCTGAGCCGAAGGCAGACGCTTAAGGACTGAGCCACCCAGGTGCCCCGATGCCACTGAGTTTTATTTTTGAATGGTGAATACTTTTTTTACTTACTTGTATATATTCAGTGAAGCAAAGAAATATATTCAGTAAGACTCTTCGCTAGCGGTGCCCGATTGAACCCTGCATCAGGCTCTCTGCTCAGCAGGGAGGCTGCTTCCCCCTCTCTCTCTGCCTCTCTGCCTACTCGTGATCTCTCTTTCTGTCAAATCAACAAATAAAATCTTAAAAAAAAAAAAAAAAAGAGTTTCTTCGATGATGCAAGTAAAGTTAAGATGAAAACCCTCTTCGTTTTCCTGGATTACATCCTCAAAATAGAAGTACAAGTAATGACCAATCATTATTGACTTTACTGCGTTCTGTGCAGAATCACACTACATCATTTGAAGGAATTAGTAAGTCCTGGTGACATAACCAAATCTCTCTTGGGATCAGAGAGAGATCAGAATGTCAAGAATCTACTTGGTAAGAGCGGAGTGCTCAGTGCTGCTGGGGCTAGAACAGCGGTGCTCTTGAACAAAAGGCCTGCTCAGCCAGGTATACACTGTTTCCAGCACCCAGAGTCCAACAGAGTGCTGCGTCTTGCTGGTTTTCCATCTAAACAAATTTTTTGTACAAGAGTTTGTTTACTAGAGAGCGCGCACGCACGAGTTGACGGGGGAGGAGCAGAGGGAGAAGCCGGTTCCCTGCGGACAGCGAGCCCGATGGGGCTGGATCCCAGCACTCCGGCATCAGGACCCGAGCCCAAGGTAGCCGCTCAACCGACTGAGCCACCCAGGCGTCCCTACACCAGATTTCTTAGGAGGAATTTTTAATTCCGGCCTTTCCTGTGTCTGGAATCTGCGACTGCAGGAGACAGGCGCTGTGCAAAGGCTACGTGGCCCGGTACCGTCGGCCTGACCGCGTCTGTCCCCGCGGTCCCGATACCTGTCGCCCAGGAAGCCGGGGCCTCGGCCTTTGGCGGGGCTGCCTGTCAGCTCCGGAGCGCCCGCCTGCAGAGCCGACGCGGCGAGGCCCCGGTGAGCCCTCGGCGCTCCACGGGACGGCGGCGGAGATGACCTCCCCGGGGAATATCCCGGGGTGTCCGTGAGAACGGGAATGAGGACAGCCGTGCGAAGCTGACAACACGAAGGCGCTCACGCCCCGTCCCCAGACGCGGCGCTCCTTCCCAAGGACGCACGGCCGGCCGCGTGCCTGCTCCGCCGCCGCCCCGGGAGAGCCCCGCGCCCAGCCCCGCCGACGGAGCCGCAGACCACCAGCCGGACGCGGCCGCCCGCCGACGCGGGGGCTCTCGCTCGCCCAGCCCTCCCGGCGCTTTACCCGACTGCCCGGCCTTCGCTCCCCGGCGGGTGGTAGTGCACGTCCGGAAGTGCCGGTTTATCGCAGTTATCTCGCCTTCTGTCCGGCGGAACGTCGCTTCGAGCACCCTGGAGCCGTCTGCACTTCCAGCACGCTTTGGAGGATTTATTTCGGACGCCCAACCCCCAAGTAACTCCATCTCTTTTGCCCCGACTTAACATGGCGCCGACCGCCGAGAGCTCCGCAGACGAAGTCGTCCCGGCCATCACCAAAAATGGCATCCAGACCCGCCGCCAACCGTCTGCGCACACTCCGCCCGCCCCCACACTGCCACTCTCGCTGGCCGCTCGGAGTTCCGCTCTAGCCGCCGCGCTCGGTGGGCGCCGCCGCCAGCCAATTGCAGGGCACGGCCGCTGCTGGCCCCGCCCAGCGGATCAGCTGAGGGATCCGCGATGTCTGTTGACAGCGGAGGGGGCCGCGGCGGCGCGGCCGGTTCCGGGTTCGGCGCGGGGCGGGGGGTAAGCGGACGGCGCGGGGCTGCGGTGGGTCGGCGGGCGGGACGCGGCCACGCCGGAGGAGGCGGGCGTCCGGCCCGCGGCGGCGGCGGCGGCGGCGTGGCGTGGGCGCCGAGGCCGGGAGGGCCGCGGGGCGGAGCGGCGGGCCGCAGCCCCTGCCTCTGCGGTCCGAGAGCCTCACCCGGCGTTTCCGGGTCTCGTCAGATGTGAATCCGATGGAGCAGCCCGGGGAAGGCGAGCAGCCGCAGCAGCAGCAGCCCTGGGGGAGGCTCCTCCGCTTGGGCGCCGGAGAGGGCGAGCCGCACGTCCTCCTGAGGAAACGGGAGTGGACCATCGGGCGGAGGAGAGGTGCGGGCCGGACGCCGGGGCGCGCGGATGAGGGCGGGGGCCGGGGGACCAGGGTCGGGGACCGAGCGCTGGGGGACCGGGACGGGGGACGGAGGGCTGGGGGACCGCAGCCGGCGATGAGGGCTGGGGGCTGGGCCGGGGGGCCGGGGCCGGGCCAGGAGGCACCCCCGGCTGCCGAAGGGCCCTGGGCGGGGCCCGCCGCGCTATCCAGTTTTTCCAGTGGAATAGGCTCCCGTGTAAGAGCCGCGGTGCATTCGCTTACTGGTCGGCCCAGTCACTGCTGAGTGTTTCCCGCAGATTATTTAATCGTCGTTACAACTTCAGGAAGCAGGCGCAGTGATGTCACGGACCCCTAGAGCGCGGGGTCGTCGAGTTCATGACCACAGAAAGCATTTCCGCCCTCCGTGGGATGAAATTAAAGCCAGTAGGAGAAGGAGCCCTGGAAAATCCAGTGTGGAAATTAAGCAGCACACTCTTAAGCCGCCAGTGGGTCAACGAAGTCCCAGGGCAAATTACACAATACCTGGAGATGAGTGCACACGGGGATATGGTAGGCCCCGGTTTGTGGGCTGCCGCTGAGGCAGTGCGCCCAGGGAGATTTGTAGCTGTAGGCGGCTACATTTATTTTTATTTGTTTCTTAAGATTTTATTTATCTGGCAGAGGGAGAGCATCGAGGGAGGGAGCACAAGCAGGGAAGCAGGCTCCCGTAGAGCAGGGAGCCCCATGCAGGGCTCCATCCTAGGACACTGCGACCGGGCCCCCAGCCGAAGACAGATGCTGAGCGACTGGCACCCAGGCGGGTGGTGGCTACATGGGAAAAGACCTCAAGCCCCCGCTCTTAGAATTGAGCTGCTCACGTCTAGGTTGGAAGTACAGGGCGTGATCAAAGTCTCACAGCTCGGTGAGACAAAGCGTGTCACCCTCCAGGCTCAGCTGCCTCGAAGCTCCTAAGTGCCCATCTGGCTGTTTGACGCACTTGGTATCTTCCCTGCAGGGAGAGAAATGTGCTGGTCAAGTCAGCAAAAAAGTGTAGTTTGTCTGAAAGTTACTACATCATCACTCTGACTCTTTCTCTCTCTATATATATTTTTACAGTTTTCTAAGTCCAGCCTAATCAACGTACACTCTTTAGTTTCAGCTGTGTGATACAGTGATTGTGCAGTTCTGCCCATTACTGGGTGCTCATAATGAGAAGGACACTGGAATTCTGTTCACCTAATTCACTCTTCCCCCAACCCCCCCCAACCATCCGTTCTTTACATGTAAGAGTCTATTGTTTTGTTTCTTACTTTATATCTTTAAAAGGAAAGGATGTGAAAAGTATTATTTAAAAACAAGTATTTTTTATATGTTAACTATACTGGAATTTTAAAAACTAAAAAAATAAAGGCTAAGTACTATGATAAAAATAAGGATAATAAAGTAAACACAATTTTTTGGGTTATTTTACCATTTATGATGTACCTGCACCTGTTTTTGTTTTTTGTTTGGTTGGTTGGTTGGTTGGTTTGGTTTGGTAGTCTTAAATCTCAGTGTCAAGTTAACTTTTTTTTACAACGTTGAATGTTTTTACCAGCCATTAGAAACTTCTGAAAAATGCATTAGTTGTCTTTAATGTATGGGAATTTGGTGAAGAGCAGAGCCCGGTGTTTCCAACCTGGCACTGCCTCATAACTTGCTTTGGGCTACGGACTTCACTTTCCATACCTTTGTACCTACTTCACTGAAGAGTAATGCACATCTTACCTGCGAAATCCTTAAAAGGAGCCTGGCTGAGAGTTAGCTAGTTAGTTAGTTAGTTAGTTGACAGACAGAGATCACAAGTAGGCAGAGAGGCAGGCAGAGAGAGAGGAAGGGAAGCGGGCTCCCCGCTGAGCAGAGAGCCCAATCCCAGGACCCTGGGATCATGACCCCAGCTGAAGGCGGAGGCTTAACCCACTGAGCCACCCAGGCGCCCCTGAGAGTTAGCTCTTAATGTTAGCCATTGTTATTGTAACACAGTATTGTAACATCATTTTGCATGTTAATACAAGGAGCAAAAACAGGCTGTTGGGTAAATCTCAGGAGAATTCCTTTTGGTGAAGGTATTAACCTCTCCATCGGAAGCAGAAGTTGCTGTGTTAGCCTGCTCAGGCTGTTGTAACAAAATGCCATAGACCAGGAAGCTTAAGCAATAGACATTTGTTTTTCACAGTTCTTAAGTCTGAGAAGTCCAAGATTAAGGTGCTAGTCGATTTGTTTCTTGGTGAGAGGCCTCTTCTGGATTACAGACAGCTGCCTTGCCAGCCTTCTCCTGTGAGACAAAGTTTTGGTGTGTCTTCCTCCTCTCCTGAGGGCACCCGCCCTATCAGATTAGGGCCCCAGCCAGTGGTCTCATTTAACCTTTATTGACTCCTCCCAAGCCCTGGCTGCAGTAACACTGGGTTCAGACCTTTAAGAGGAATTTTGGGAAAGACACATTACCTAAGAATTGTAGGACTTGATTACATTTCTTTTAAAACACACACGTGGTCTATGTAAGGCATTATTTCGAAGAGAAAGGGAGAGCTGAGTTGGTGTGTGTGGGAAGGGAGATGGAAGACCTCACCTTCCAAGAGCTTCCGTGCTGGGGGCGTGGCCGAAGTGTGCGCCAGCCAGCCTCCCGAGGAATTTAACCCACTGAATGGTAAGCAGGGCAAATGCCAAGAATAGAACTTAGCACAGAGTATCTTGGATCTACATTAGAAAGCTGATGTTCTGGTATAGAGAAGCTTGTTAAAAACCCATCCCAGTGGCATGGTGACTGGTGTTGGGTCGGCAGCTGCCGGCAGACTGTCCTGCTGGTTATACTCCGCATGCTGGGAAGATGGTGAGCGCAGCTGAAATGTGCCGTGGGTAAATGAAGCACTTCCCCTGATGTATAATGTGGAGTAAGATGTCTAATGCTTCGGGTTCATGGAGATACAGTTCCACGGTAAAATTCACCCCTTCTGGGCGCTCGGTGAGTTTTGAGAAATGGAATCACCACTGCCGTTAAGAGGCAGAACATTTCCATCACCCTAGAAAGTTCCCTAGTGGTCCTTTGGATCAGCCACCTGCTCTCAAGCCCAGCTCTGGCCACTATCCATCTAATTTCTATCCCTGTCATTCTGCCTTTTCCAGAATCTTGGATCTAAGTGGAGTCACACAGTATTCCACCCAGTCTGTGTATGGCTTCTGTCCTTTGACATAACCCATTTCAGGCTGTTGTGTGTTTCAGTAATTCCTTTCCTTCCCTTTGTGTAGGCTCCACACCCAGATTGAAGCTCAACACAGGGCTTGAACTCGCAACCCTGAGATCAATACCTGAGCTGGTACCATGAGTTGTTCACTTAACCCATCAAGCCACCCAGGCGCCCCCGTAATGTGTATCTTTTTGGTGCTGTGTAGTCTTCCAGTGTTTGGGTGTACCACAGTTTGTTTTTTAATTCTCCGGCTGATGGACACGTGTATTGCTTCCCATGTTTGGTTTTTTTTCTTTCTTTCTTTCTTTTTTTTTTTTTTTTAAGATTTTATTTATTTATTTAACAGGCAGAGATCACAAGTAGGTGGAGAGGCAGGCAGAGAGAGGGGGAAGCGGGCTCTCTGCTGCGGGGCTCGATCCCAGGACCCTGGGATCATGACCTGAGCCGAAGACAGAGGCTTAACCCACTGAGCCACCCAGGCGCCCCCCATGTTTGGTTATTAAAAGTAAAGCTATAAGCCTTAGTAGCTATAGCATAAACTTATTATAAGCACATTAATGATTCGACAGTAAAAAGTTCTTTAAAGATTTTATTTCTTTGGTTTAAGGAGAGAACAAAATATTTGATGATATCACCCCTGCATTTAATGAGGGTATAATGATCATGTTCAGCTGTAGATGCATTCCCCCTTCTGTTTTAAATTTTCTCAAACATGTACCTCTGTCTGTAATTTGCTCAGTCACGTTTTCTGTGACTCTTGATTATTGCTTCAGTTTTGTGATGATTTATGAAACCTTAGATTACACTGAGAAATTAAGGACTAAGTGAAGATATTGAAGAATTACTTAACTAAAGCCCTTAGTTTTAAACTTCTCTTTTTATCACTCTGGCTGCATAGATGTGCCTATTGTGAAATTGTCACCAAGAAGCTCTTGGTGTATAGCCAGAACTGTTGATGGGGTGCGTATCCTTTAGGTAATGGGGAGTCAGAAAGGTTCAAGACACAGCCCCTCTCCCTTTGCTTTGGATTAATACTTAAATGCTTTTTTAAAAAACTGCTTCCTATCGGGGCATCTGGGTGGCTCAGTCAGTTAAGCATCTAACTCTTAATTTTGGCTCAGGTCATGATCTCAGTTCTGGGATCGAGCCCTGCATCGGTCTCTGAGCTCAGCGGTGAGTCTGCTTGAGACGCTTTCTCCCTCTGCCCCTTACCCCACTCTCTCAAAATAAAAAAAAAAAAATTTTAAATTAATAAATCTCAATGGGGCGCCTGGGTGGCTCAGTGGGTTAGGGCCTCTGCCTTCGGCTCCGGTCATGATCCCAGGGTCCTGGGATCGAGCCCCGCGTGGGGCTCTCTGCTCAGCAGGGAGCCTGCTTCCCTTCCTTTCTCTCTGCCTGCCTCTCTGCCTACTTGTGATCTATGTCTGTCAAATAAATAAATAAAATATTTAAAATAAATAAATAAATCTCAAAAAAATTGCTTCCTTTCTTGTTTTATTAGGTGTTGTCTCCTATGGCGCATACAGCCCGGGTCCTGATTTTCAAGCACGATCTTTGATAACAAAGGGTAGTATTATGCACGGTCCCCACGGTCATATCCAGTGTGTATCCTTTCTCTGTTTTAGGTTGTGACCTTTCGTTCCCCGGCAATAAACTGGTGTCCGGAGATCACTGTAAAATCATAGTGGATGAAAAATCTGGTCAGGTGTCACTGGAAGATACCAGGTAAGCGCCTTCTGAACTTTTCTTAAAAAGATTTCTTGTTTTTGTTTTTATGTAATCTCCACACCCATCGTGGGGCACAAACTCACAACCCCTGAGATCAAGAGGCCCACATTCTTCCGACTGAAACAGCCCGGTGCCCTTCGTTCTGAACTTCTGTTTCCTCTGGAATCCATTGACTACAGAGAAGAAACAAGGGCTTGTTTTCTATGACACAGTAGTTTGGTAGGCCGTCAGATTCTTAGAAAATGTATTTTCCTGTTTCCAATAACACTTCGGTGTCTGTGAGCCTTCTTGAATGTGTTCAAATTAAAGCAAAAATATTTCTGAAAGAAAGACTTAAAAGGCAGTGATAACCTATTCAAGTTAATCCCACTCACCTGTTAGAAATATGTATTTATTTTGTATTAATGTGGTTTTGCTAGATACATTTTGTCTCCTTTTTCACTTTCATTTATGGGGCGCTTATGTCAGTGCACCCAGACCCATCTTTGGGTCCTCACTGTGATTGTGTAATTATCCGCCTCACTGTGATTGTGTAATTATCCGTCAGCTCCTTTACTGGTAGAGAGTTACTATTTTTGACTTTTTCTTACTATAAATGACGCTGCAGTTATTGTCTTCCAAAACTCTTTGCATTCATGTCTGATTATTTGCTTGGGGCACATGCGTAGGAAGGAACGCGGTGTCAGAATGTGGCTGCCTTCAGCCTGGTGCGAGTGGCAAAGTGGCAGGTGGCCTCCGGCAGCCTGTTGAAGTATGCCTTTTCCACCAGACGGATTCTTATTTTTGAAAAGGTCAAGTGTTAGGAGATTGGCGGTTACAGTTGTAGGGCTAGAAGACGAGGAATTAGTTTATTAGGAAGAAATGATGCTCCTTTCCCCTCTTCTAGTAGGTAGCAGTTTGAGTTCTTTATTTCTTAGCCTGATGGAGAGCTGCGTGCGTAGCACTGGTTCTGGAGCGGTCCTGCGGCAGGGTGGGGCTCTCTGGGACTGGCTGTGGGACAGTTTTGTAACAACTCGCTGCAAACTTACTGGCTTTCACAGAGCTGCGATCTCATAGTGTCGAAGATACAGAGTCGAAGTCAGGTCTCATTGGACTAGAATCAAGGTGTCATCAGGGCTGGCTCCTTCTGGGGGCTCTAGGAGAGAATCCTTTTCCTGTGTTTTCCAGCTTCCAGGCACCGCCATGTTCCCTGGCTGCGGTGGCCGGAGGGGAGAGGGTGTTCTGGGCCGGAGGAGGTGCAGGTGCAGAGGCCCTGGGCACAAGCAGGTCCTGTGCACGCAGAGTGAGTGACAGGTGCAAAGCCGGGCAGTGGACTGGAGCGGGAAAGCCCTGGTGTCCACGCTAGCGAGTTTGGACTTTAGCCTGAGAGCAGGGAGAAGTGACTGGGGTTTAAGCAGAAGAGTAAAGTCAGACTTTTTTGGTTAGAAAGGGCGTGAGAATGGATTGTGGGGAGACCCCCGGCGGCAGAGACCTGGCTATACTGGGGAGCACCACCAGCTGCTGGGAGTGAAGCCGCGCTGGGGCACTGGCCGCTTCCCTGTGACAGGCAGAGCGGAGTGGTCGGGACAGAGACTGTGGGAATATTTACTTTGTGGCCCTTTACAGAACAGTAAAGTGGTGGGCATCTGCTCAGATGTGGAAGTAAGGCTTTTCACCCCTGGAGGCCTTAGGAGTGAAGCTGCGGAGTCAAGCTCGGGTGGTCTGAGCGCCTGCGGTCGGGTCGGTCCACTCGCCGCGTTGACGTTCCTGTGCTGCGGCGCGTGCTTCGTCCGGTCACGACTGTCCGTCAGGTTTCTACTCAGGACTCCCTCAGGGAAGTGCTGTTCCGTCCTGTCCTGGCTGACTTAGACTCCTGTCTGTCCTCTTGGCAGCCTGTCCCTCTTCCACCTGTGCTCCCTGATTGACCGGAGTGACCTCCCCACGAGGGACAACGCCACCTTCAGCCCGTAGTCGGCACTGATTTGCTTCTGCTGGAAACCTGTCTTTCTCTTCTTTTAAAGTAGGCCCCACTCCCAGTGTGGGGCCCAGTGTGGGGCCTGAACTCACGATCAAGACCTGAGCCGAGGGGCTCCTGGATGGCTCAGATGGTTAAGTGTCTGCCTTCGGCTCCGGTCATGATCCCAGGGTTCTGGGATTGAGCCCCACGGCGGGCTTCCAGCTCAGTGGGGAGTCCGTTTCTTCCTCTCCCTCTGCCTGCCTCTCTGCTCCTGCTCTGTCTCTCTCTCTCTCAAATGAATAAATAAAATATTAAAAAGAAAAGAAAAGACCTGAGCCGATATCAAAGAGCAGGACGTTTAACTGTCTGAGTCACCCAGGCGCTCGTTGGAACCCGTCTCTCTCTTTTTTTTTTTCAAAGATTTCATTTATTTATTTGACAGGCAGAGATCACAAGCACGCAGAGAGGCAGGCAAAGAAAGAAAGAGGGGGAAGCAGGCTCCCCACTGAGCAGAGAGCCCGATGCGGGGCTTGATCCCAGGACCCTGAGATCATGACCTAGCCGAAGGGAGAGGCTTAACCCACTGAGCCACCCAGGCGCCCTGGAACCCGTCTCTTAAGAGGCGTCAGTGCTGACTGGAATGAGCTGACCTGGTTGAAACTTCTGGAGGGAGGGGTGGATCTGTGGGCAGAGCAGAGTGCAGAAGCGAGACTGAAGCTGGAAATCAGAGCTGCTAGGAGAATTCCAGGGCTCCACCAGGAGGCAAATGGGGGAGAATGTGGCGTGGGGAAAAGCAGACACGTCGATGAGATTGGTGACTAGTTTGGCTGTCAACAAGGGGTAGCTGGCAAGCTTTTCCTCGGGAGAACTGCGGTGTGGCACTAGCATATATGGCTCCTTAAATATTTACGTTGTGCTTAGGAGTGTTTTATCATTTTCAAAGCAGTGATACTGATTTGTTTCCCTAGTGGTAGTAGAGAAAGAAAATTTTCACTCCGGAGTTATTTTTTTTTTTTTAAAGATTTTATTCATTTATTTGACAGAGATCACAAGTAGGCAGAGAGGCAGGCAGAGGGAGAGGGAAGCAGGCTCCCCACTGAGCAGAAAGCCTGATGCAGGACTCGATCCTGGGACCCTGAGATTATAACCCGAGCCGAAGGCAGAGGCTTAACCACTGAGCCACCCAGGCGTCCCCGGAGTTATTTTAAGTAGGCTAAATTGCAATTTTGTTGTCTTTGCAGCACCAATGGAACAGTGATTAACAAGCTGAAGGTTGTTAAGAAGCAGACCTGCCTTTTGCAGACGGGGGATGTCATCTACTTGGTGTATAGGAAGAATGAGCCAGAACACAGTAAGAGAGAGGGATTGGACAGGGTGGACACAGGGGTGGTTCGTGGCGGGGAGGTCCTGCCGCCGCTGGGAAGTGTCATTGAAAGGAAGTGTGCTGAAGCAGCTGTTTCCCTTAGGAATGTTAGTGTTAGCTACATTTTCTCTGCTGTTGATGTAGACTCTCGGCGTGAGTCATGTCTGTTGAGAATGGGAGTGTTGACCCTGCAGTCTGAGCCCGAGCCATTCTTCCGAAATCCCACTCTGGCCACAGCCGTGCATCTCAGCAGGGCCAGGGGAAGTGAGCGGGGATGGGCCGGGTGACATAGCGGAGGAAACCTGAGTTGTGGGGAGTCAGACCTAGAATAGGAGCTGGAGGCCAGAGGTCATCTGCTTTTGAAGACCTTATAGCAGACAACAGACATCCGACTGGATCCCATTCGGGCTTTTCCAGATCTGAATATCCGTTTGCGGAGGAATGATACAGGTCAAGGAGAGTTGAGAAGGAGTCTTTCAAAGGTTACCACGAACTGGAAGAGGGAGGCAGATATTCTCAGGTTGTCTTCCGTGTTGTCAAAACCAGCCCCTGGCCACGTGGCAGGTCCCGTGTCTGCTCCTGCTGGTGGCTTGAAGCGACAGGCAAAGCACCGGTCACCCCCTGCTCGTCACTCTGCCTCCCCTAGTCTGCCTCATGCCTGCAGACCTTTTATTCCGAGCCTTATTTATTTTAAAGTCGGTTAAGTTATCTTGGGTCACTTGTTTTGAAATCTCTTGAACTAGTTAATGTTGTTACCAGCTGGTAAGTCAACATCGTCAGCAAGGACCGAGGGACTGAAGTGACAGAAAGGAACAGAAAGGGGAAGGGGGCTTCTGATGGTCCTGGGGACTCCGTTCTGACTGCTGATTTCCTTTTAGATGTGGCATACCTCTACGAATCTTTAAGTGAGAGGCAAGGCGTCACGCAAGACTCCTTTGGTAAGTGAGGCTGTAACAACGTGGGTGCGTAGTAAGGGCTGTTGGTTCTTTTTTTTTTTTTTAAAGATTTATTTATTTATTTGACAGAGAGAGAGATCACACGTAGGCAGAGCGGCAGGCAGAGAGAGAGGGGAAAGCAGGCTCCCTGCTGAGCAGAGAGCCTGATGCGGGGCTCGATCCCAGGACCCTGAGATCATGACCCGAGCCGAAGGCAGAGGCTTAACCCACTGAGCCACCCAGGTGCCCCAGGGCTGTTGGTTCTTACTAGGAAAGCCTTTTCATCTGTTGGAACGTCTTGGCTGAAGCCGTGGTGCTCCCCCTGAACCCTGACCGTATGCTCTTTCTGTTCCTTTCGTGTTTGCAGAAGCTAATAAAGAGAATGTGTTCCACGTGACCAAAGATACCTCAGGTGCAGGGCAAGGTGATGACCCCCAGGTCCTGCCGTCATCGCCCACCACTCAGGCGTGCTTTGAGGAACCACAGCCATCGACGTCGACATCAGACCTCTTCCCCACGGCTTCTACCTCTTCCATGGAGCCCGCCTCTGCAGGGCGAGCGCCTTCCTCCAGCTCTGGTGAGAGGGGAATCTCAGGGCGGTCGCCGCATGCCTCTTTGGTCACTGATTGTGACCCGTGTTATTATGGACGGAGACAGACATAGAAGCCACTGGGGAAGCCAGAGGCGGCATCAGGCGTTAGGCTGTCAGCAGCAAGATCGCTGCCGTAGTCGACGGTGTCGTGTTCCATCTGCGGCAGAAATGCAGAGAGTCGGGCGGTGCAATAGCATGGTGTGTTTTGTCCTTGTGCAGGGATGTAATTCGCAGGCCGTGGCAGTCACCCGGCTCAAGTGTACACGTCTGTGGTTTTTACTGCATTCATAGTGTTGTGCGTTCACACCACTATATCATTCCAGAACATTTTCGTCACCCCAAAAGGAGACCCCACACCCACCAGCAGTCACTGCCCCTCCCCCAACTAATCTGCTTTCTGTCTGTGTGGACTTGCCTCTTCTGGACGTTTCATACAAGTGGAGTCATGCAGTCTGTGGCCTTTCGTGTCTGCTGCTTTCACCGAGCATAATGTTTCCAAAGCTCACCCAGAGGAACATATAATTTACTTATTTATTTTTTGAAGATTTTATTTATTTATTTGAGAGAGAGTGCACGAACACACACCAGCAGGGGGAGAGGCAGAGGGAGAAGCAGACTCTCTGCCAAGCGGAGAGGCCAACTCGGGACTTGATCCCAGGCCTCCAGGATGGTGACCTGAGCTGAAGGCAGACGCTTTACCAACTGAGCCACCCAGCCGCTCCTGGAATAACATGTAATTTAAAACCACTTTTACATGTACTGGTCTTTATGGCACTAATTCTTTACCTTCCTCCCTGGTCACTAGAGAAGATTCAGACGCCCTGGGTGCCATGGGACTTGAACATTTCTTTGTAGATAACTGTTAGGGTGTAGCGTGTACACATATGTATGATCTGTGAATTGGATCGCACTATATATGTTAATTGTTTTAGAAGATTTTATTTATTTGAGAGGGAGAGCCAGCACAAGCCGGGGGGGGCAGGAAGGGGAGAAGCCGATTCCTCATTGAGCAGGGAGCCCAATGCGGGGCTTGATCCCAGGACCCTGGGGTCATGACCTGAGCCAAAGGCAGAGGCTCAATAGCTGAGCCCCCCAGGCGCCCCTAAATATGTTAATGTTTTAGTTCACTTTCTTAGCTGTTCTTCTGTATATTTTTTCCAGGTTCTCTTTAGGTTTATCTTAAGTTTAAAAAAAAAAAAAAAGCCTTTTTGAGATTTTTTTTTTTTTTTTAAGATTTTTATTTATTTATTTGACAGAGAGAGATCACAGGTAGGGAGATCAGCAGGCGGGGGGGGGGGGAAACAGGCTCCCTGCTGAGCAGAGAGCCCGATGCGGGGCTCGATCCCAGGACCCTGGGATCATGACCTGAGCCGAAGGCAGAGGCTTAACCCACTGAGCCACCCAGGCGCCCCGAGATTTTTTTGATTGGAGAGAATTGACATTTTTACAATACCCAGGACAGTGGGGGTTCACCCTGTTCATTAAGCTCTTTGATGTTCTTCAGTGAAGTAAGCCTTCTTCACCTTGTTTTGGGAACTCGAATTTATCCCTAGAATGCTTTTCTTATTCTTGTTTTTTAAGATTTAATTTATTTGAGAGAGAGACAGCAAGTGAGTACAAGCCATGGGGGAGGGGGCAGAGGGAGAGGCAGGCTCCCCACTGAGCAGGGAGCCTCGGTAGGGGGGCCTCGATCCCAGGACCCCGAGATCGTGACTTGAGCCGAAAGCAGACGATTAACCGACTGAGCCCCCCAGGGACCCCTCCCTCTCTTATTCTTAACATTGTAGTGCACGGAGACCCTCTTAAATCTCCGCGAGGGTGTGTTTGGCTGTGAATAGTAGAAGACATGGTTCCCAGAGCAGAGTCTGGAGACTCGCAGCCTCGCCCTCGCTCACCAGCTCATGATGTTACTGGGCACTTCCTGTCCGTGGCGTTTCGGCTCTTTGTCTTCTTTTAATCTTCTGCTTGCTTGCAAGAAGCCCGAGTTCTAGCTGTCGCAGACACATTCAGAGGCAGGAACTAGCAAGGTCTTTCTAAAAAGAACTCGGTTGCGGGCTCAGCAGCAGAGGACTTGTCCCCAGAGGTCTCCTCCGTCTCCTCCTTCCCCTCCGTCTCCTCCATCTCCTTGGCCAACTTAGCTGTTCTGCTCCGAGGTGGTCCTTATTTTCTCATCTGTTCTGGTGGGATTTGGGGAAGAAGAGGCAGTAAACGCAGGGACTCTGTATGCTTCCTTGAGACCAGAAGCCTTACTTCTCCCGCATTACGTGAACCTGTTTCCATTTTTGCGAACTTGGTTTTCACTTGCCAGTACCATTGTTCTTTTTAGCGTAGGGAATGCCACACTCCTACTGGCTGCCCTCATTAAGGCTTTGTAGCTCTCTCCGCCATCCTTACCCAGAGCTTCCGCTGCCCAGCCAAGTCCCCAGCAGCAGCGGGCTCACACAGCACACCACACTCTCTCCCCGGGTCAGTGGCACCCGGCTGAGCACCAACACTTTCGTGTTACGGGGACTTCGGCGCGTCCATAAAGGACTTTGCGGTACTTACCAGGCATGCTTGCTTACACAACGGTAGTGGCTGGTGAGCCCTGTATCTGAGTCTCACCCACCACCTCCAGGAGACAACCAGCAGCAGAGACCAGACCCGTGACCGCAAGAGGCCCTCCAGCCTGTCCCCTGGTACTGCTGAACTGGAGTCCCAGCTTCTCAGACGCCTTCGACTTACCGCTCTTTCAGCATCATACCTCAAACTCCTGAGTAAAAGAAAAGGCGATCACACTACCTAGATAAAAACATGCCAGATACTGAAAAACTGCCCGGATGGTTGAAGTTCTCCAAGTTCTGTAGGCTCGCGTGCCCTTTAGAGTATCCCCTGGGTTCCTTTAACCACAGAGGCACGACACGGTTAGGTCATGGGCTGCCCCGCTGCTGGTTCCTCCCACCCGAGGGTTTCCCCTTGTGAGGGCCACCCCAGGAGGAGTAGAAGTGACATTCACTGACCTTGAGTGTACCCCAGGGAGTGTTGCGTATGAGCGCAGATAAGATGGAAGGCTGTGGGCCTTCTGGATTGAGTGCTAATCTCCAGCTGTTTGCCTGTGTAAAAATATGCTTTGTCTCTGGTCCCAAGCTGTGTGTTTTGTGGTTATTGTTATAGCTTTTCAGAATTGAAGCACAGAATAACTCTGACCTATAAAGAAAACCTGCTTTACCAATAGGAATTTTTTTTATTCCATCTATATACTTAATACGTGCATAATATGAGTGGTTGGGATTTGACAGTTTATTTTGATAATGTTCTAATTTCATTAAAGGAAACCGCAATGCGGTATTACCTCACACCTCTTAGAATGGCCAGCGTCAAAGAGACAAGGGATGACAAGAGTTTGTGAGGACGCGTAGCGAGGGGAGCCCTCCCATGGTGTCGGTGGGAGTGCAGGCTGCTGCGGCCGCTCCTCAGACAGCGAAAAAGAGAACTGTGTCTGACGCAGTAACCTCGCTTCTCGGTGTATATCCAGAGGAAGTGAAATCACTCTCTGCAGGAGACGCCTGCACGTCCTTGTTCCGGCAGCATTATTCACGAAGGCCAAGACCTGGAAACAAAATGTGATGTGTGTGTGTGCGCGTGCACATACAACTGTTAATTTTACCATAAAAGGGCAAAAGGGCAGTGCATTTATATATTGTGCGATTAAAAAAAAATCATAAAAAATTTTGCTATAAGCAGATTGTTCAGATGGAAAGCTTAGCTCCAATTGTGTGAAGCTGGGGGCATTTTCCTGTGTGTCTGAGTGTATACATACTAATAAGGTACACAGCCTGCTGAGTGTGCGCTGGGTGCCAGGTGCTCTTACAAGTTTTGAGTTAACCCTCCCCGTGGGTCTCCTGGAGGGACACCGTCATCATGGTCTGTGTTCTGGAGGGAGAAGCTCGGCGGAGCTCAGGAGAGCCCCGCCCCCCGCCGTAGTGGGAGTGAGAACCAGAGCCAGGAGCCGGCCCTTGACGCTGTCTCTTCTCTTCCCTCCATATACAAGCTCATTTGCTCCCCAAACAGTTTTAACCTTTTTCCTTTGGTGGCCATAGGGCAGTTTCTTTTTCAAAATAACAGCACTAATCACTTGAATATTACCGACTACGCCTGTATTGTAGTGGATGATATTATAAAAACAGGTCTTTATCTAGATGATGGTTATTAGAAAGTCTCCTTATGGGGTGTCTGGGTGGCTCAGTGGGTTGAGCTGCTGCCTTCGGCTCAGGTCATGGTCTCAGGATCCTGGGATCGAGCCCCGCATCGGGCTCTCTGCTCAGCAGGGAGCCTGCTTCCCCCTCTCTCTCTGCCTGCCTCTCTGCCTACTTGTGATCTCTGTCAAGTAAATAAATAAAATCTTTACAAAAAAAAAAGTCTCCTTACCCTTCTGCTGGCTCGTTTCAATCAGCGCTTCTGGCTTCTGGCTTGCGCAGATGGGTACTGCCCTGGGAGGTACTCCTGCTCCCTTCCTTTCTCGCCGCACTGTCCCTCTGCTCTGTCTGGCCTTCGTGTCCCTGCCATCCAAAGTGCATCCCTCTTCTGAGAGGACAGTGTGTAGCTGCGCTAACATGAGTTACAGCACGGTGAGTGTTCAGCGTTACTTCGCATGCGGATTGGCCCCGTGTGAGACTAAACGTTCCAGGCCGATCCCAACCACAAACACGTCTGCCTTTGTTTCCACGCGAGCACGTTGCTCGCTCCAGGTCCATCCAGCACAGCAGCGGGCACAGTTGTGTTTAAGAGACGCAGCTCCGTATTTCTAGTGAGTGTGTGTTACTGAGAATATGGCATCTTGGATTACCTAAGCCTGACTCAAACCCGTGATGCTTTACCTGCCAGGCTCTCTCCTTCCGGGGCGGATGAATCAGAACCTCTCTTGTTTGTCGTCCTCACAGGCTCCGGAGACGCAGGCGTTTCCCCGAAAGAGTGTGGTACATCTGTGGCGGGTGATGAAATCCCTACCTTTCCTTCAGCTCTCCCAGACGGAGAGGGGGCTACCTTCTCTCTGTCAGAGCCCCGGGGTCAGGACGACCTGGAGCCCAGCAGGAAGAGAATGAAAGGAGGTCAGAGTCCTGGGGTTCTGTGTGTCTTGGCCCTTGTGGGAGTACCGGGGTCCCAGCGGGACTGTTCAAGCTGCTTCCGATAGGGCCTCCCCTTCTCCAGAAGTTTGAGGATATGTCTCAGGCAGACACCTGTGGTGCCTCAGCTTGTTTGGAATGGAAATCTGAACCTTTTCTTTCTTTCCTTTTGTCATCATCGGATTGAACTGTGTTTACTGTCAGGTTATGCTCGTGGTCTGGAAGCAGTGCGTTCTGAGTTGCCATTCTGTCCACGTTTGACAATCATTTTTTAAGAATATGTTGCCTTTGGAGGAGCCTGGGTGGCTCATTTGGGGAGCCTGTGACTCTCGATCTTGGAGTTAAGGATTCCAGGCCCACATTGGGTGTAGAGCTTACTAAAAAGTAAATGAACTTTAAAAGGAAAAATTGTTGCCTTTAAGCGATAGCTTTAACCTTCTTGTAAAGGTGATTTAGAGAAAAATCTGCTCTTAAAAAGACAAAGTTAAAAAGACTATAGAAATTTTGGGAATGTGTAGTGGGACAATGGCTGCACTGCCGGCTTGAGACCGCCTGAGGATGGGAGCAGTGAGACCAGGGGGCTCTGGGAGGGAGGAGGACCTTGGGGGAGGAAACTAGAATATTTTGCATATTGGGTGGAAAATTGAATTGACTGGCTTGGGGAGAGTGTAGAAAAAATCAGCAATAGTGCATAAAATAATAAGCCAGTATAAAAATGAGGCCACTTTGGGGGGTACCTGAGTGACTTAGTGAAGTGTCTGCCTTTGACTCAGATCATGATCCCATGATCCCAGGGTCCTAGGATCTAGTCCCAGTCAGGCTCCTTGTTCAGCGGGGTATCTGCTTCTCTTCCCTCTGCCCCTACACCCTCATCTCCCCCCCGCCAAATAAATCTTAAAAAAAAAAAAAATCGAACCCAGGCATGGTATTATATAGTTAAGAAACACGAAGGTCTGTACCAGCAAAAGTAGCTTAAAAACACGAAAGTCGTTAACTCAGTGGAGGTTAGACCACGGCAGAGGGCTGCTGCTTCTGGTTTCTTGTAAATGTTTGACTTTGTAAATAGTGTGCAAGTATTTCTTTAATTAAAAATAAAAAATTAAGCTGTGGTTAGCAGCACACGAGCACTGTGGAACAGCAGAACAGAAAAGATTCGCAGCTCCTGGTCACATCGGAGCGCGTACTTCCCAGTGTGTACACAAGTCACGTTTTTTGTTTAAACAAAAATGACATTACATACAAATACTGAGTGACAAATGGCCTTTAAGCATGTATCCCGAGTGCCCCCTTTTTATGTGATTACATTTAAGTTTCTTATGAAACTTAAGTGTATTGGAATTTGAAGCTGCTTTTCGGCCTCCTTCAGAACGCCCTTTGAAATACAAACACTGGGGCGCCTGGGTGGCTCAGTGGGTTAAGCCTCTGCCTTCGGCTCGGGTCATGATCCCAGTGTCCTGGGATCAAGCCCGCATCGGGCTCTCTGCTCGGCGGGGAGCCTGCTTCCCCCTCTCTCTCTGCCTGCCTCTCTGCTTACTTGTGATCTCTCTCTCTGTCAAATAAATAAATAAAATCTTTAAAAAAGAAAAGAAAAGAAACACAAACACTGGTGGGAGCTGTGTCTTCCGTCCGTAGGTTGAGGTGTTCGTGGAACTAGAAGAGCCAGCGTCTGCTGCTTCCCCGCTTGGCTGCGGTGGTCAGAACGCACCCCTTTCTTTCACAGATGGGGGGCCTGACGTGACCCTGCAGTTGCTGGCCGCAGACCAGTGTAGAGACACTCACGCCGCCCTGGGAAGTGTCCGGTCCGAGGCTGTGAAACCAGACAAGATGGAGGAGACGCTCACGTGCATCATCTGCCAGGACCTGCTGCATGACTGCGTGAGGTACGTGCCCCGCGGGGAGGTGTGTGGGGGTGCCGCAGCCGGGAGAAGCGGCCGCAGGGTAGCCAGCCTCTGGCTCAGGGCGGGTTCGATGCTGTGGATGTCGCTGTCATTTGACCTGTGTGGCCACCTGCCCAGAACCCGCTGCCCATACCCGAGGCTGTGGAAGAGCTCACGAGGCCGCAGTGGCAATGGCCTCAGTGGGCACAGGCGGACACAGGTCCCAGTAGATAACCCCAGTAGCCTGTGTCTGCTGCACAGACACAAAACAGGAGAACTGTACCAAGCCTTAAGGGAATGTCGTCGTTAATCCAGGGGCAGTGACCCAGAATGTGGGTCCCAGGAGCCACTGGGGAGAGCCCCCTCCTTGCTTCTCTGGGGGAACTGAAGAATGAAAGCCCTTAGAATTTCCACTGAAATGCAGGCCTTTTCCACACTCAGTGTCCCTGTTCCTCGTATGCCTCAAGTCACAGCCTGCTCTCCTGTCCCTGCTGGAGCATAGATTGTCGCTTCTCGTTTCTCTGAATTCCCAAGGACCAGGTGAAAGTTGAGGTCGAGCGCCATTCTGCCAGGGGAGCTGGATCCCCTGCGGCCTGTGGATGGCCGGTGGCCTTCCCCGCCTGACAGCTGGGGCTGCAGCTGCGGCCAACGCGGGCCCCAAATGCGGTGTGTGTTGCTGCCCAAGAAACAAGGGCTCTAGGCTCTGCTGAGTCAAGTGAGCTCGGTGGGTAGGGGGTAATCGCACTTTTCTGTTTGGTAACGAATCCTCAGCCTGAGCAAGGCACGTCCTCCTCTGGGGAAAGAAGCAGCGTGAACTGGGGTCCCTGCTTCTCCTGCTCCAGGCAGGCCATGCCCCACGTGCCCTGGCATCTGGGGGGCTGCTGCGGTCTGGCAAGACAGATGCTTCAGCGGCGGGTGATCTGCAGGGGCGTCTGAAGACCTGTCCTTGTCCCCTCAGCCTGCAGCCCTGCATGCACACCTTCTGTGCGGCCTGCTACTCGGGCTGGATGGAGCGCTCCAGCTTGTGCCCCACGTGCCGCTGTCCAGTCGAGAGGATCTGTAAAAACCACATCCTGAACAACCTGGTGGAGGCCTATCTTCTCCAGCACCCAGGCAAGTGGGGAGCCCGCCCAGCTCCTGGCCGCTGCGGGGGTCTCTCCGGGGCCCCTCAGCCAGTAGAGCCACGTCCTTTCCCTCCAGACAAGAGTCGCAGCGAGGAAGATGTGCGGAGCATGGCTGCCAGGAACAAGATCACGCAAGACATGCTGCAGCCCAAAGTCAGGAGGTCGTTCTCCGACGAGGAGGGCAGCTCAGAGGACCTGCTGGAGCTGTCCGATGTGGACAGCGAGTCCTCCGACGTGAGGTGAGCCTCCTCTTAGCTCTGAGTGCGGCAGGGAGCTGGGCAGGCAGCGCGGGAGTCTGGGTCGGGTTCTACCTCCAGCAGCCCGGCTCCTGCGCCGTCTGGCCTCGCTTCTCGTGGGCGACGTCAGCCAGTGACCTTGGCTGCCTTGAGCTTAGCGAGGATGGGGTGGGTGCCGGCCAAGGACAGCCACTCCCTCGGGTGACTGGGGTGGGTACTTGCCACCCTGCCTGCTCCAGTGCCCCCTCCCTCTTCAGGTACGCACGCAACGTTTATTTTTTGCTGCTGTTTATCTGTATTTCCTTCCAGCTTTACTGAGATGTCATTGGCATGCAGTACCTTTTGAGTTCAGGGCATCCTGGCCATCGAAGGGCTTGACTGCCGACTCTTCTAAGATGAAGAGCACCAGACCCCACGCCCTGTTATCAGGTGCTTGGGTTCTGGCTACAACGACGTCATGATGTAACACGTTCTTTGTCCCATGTGTGCGCACGTACTCGCAGCTCGTGCAGGGAGTATCGGGTCCCGCACTGGGAGCTGCATGGTCTGCGTTGGTCGGGATGCTACCGTGGAGAGGCTGTGGCCGCCTGGCTGAGGGGATGCGATCCCACGAGCCCTGGTGTTAGCTGCCATTTCCTGACTCAGAAGTCCGCCGTCTGAGTTTCGGGTGGAGGCCGTCAGACTGAGACAAAAGTCAAACCTCCCAAATTTACTATCTTTTGTTTCTTTTTGTAAAATTTAGCAAATGATGGTCAGGCCAACAGAAGGAATCAAAAATCACTTTAGCGTGAACATACTATGGTACATCCTTGTGGCCACTCATAGAGGTAGCCGCACAAACTCCTTCTGTTAGTAAGTAAAACACGGTATATACTTAGAAATGCTCGTACAAAGCTGGGATTGTGCCGTACATGTGGTTTTGTAGGCTCTCTAGTATTCTCACTCGAGAGGCCGTGCTACGGTGCACACCCTGCGGTTACGGTTTCATGCGCGTGTGCATTAGTTGACAGAGGTAAGTGACGGCACTGGAGCGGTCAGGTCGGAGAGCCTGACCCAGGGTTCCCTGCTGGACTGGCACCTATGTCATCTCGTGCCCGTCAGGAAGGTCCTAGCGATGGCCTCTGGGAGGTTTGTCAAGGGGTGTCAGGAAACCCTGCCTGCACTCGGTGTCACCCGAGATGAGTGCCATCTCATTCCTAAATGAGGTCGAGCATTTTCGGTGGTGGTTTTCTAGTAAGGTCTTACCCCTTCTTCCCTCTCTGGCTCCTGCTGTCAGAGGCAGGCTCAGGAAGGAGTTCTCTGAGATGAGGGAAGAGTCTGTGCCTGTTTCCTGTGGATTCTGTTTTACCATCTGTGTTTTTAGGAAGCTCAGCTGAAGGGCATAAAGCGAGGTGGGGCAGGGCTGCTGCTGGCTGGGCGGGAAGGCCCTAGAGGACAGCAGCATTCAGCTGGGGCACAACATGTGCTCTTGACTGATGCACTTTCTCAGGCGCTGGGGTGGACGTGCTGAGCGCCCCGGGCAAGCTGGGGCTGCCTCTGGACGTGGCTCCAGGCTCGCCCAGCATCAGGCCTGTGAGCGTGCGCCCCTCCCCGTGTGGGGACTGAACAGCCGCACTCTGGGGGATGCTGTGCCAAAGCACGGCGTGGGCAGGACCTGTCTCCGTGTGTCAGGAGCTGCCAAGGGGGCTGAGGGTGGCGAGGGACAGAGACACCCCCCCCCCCCCGCTGCTCTTCCGGGTGAGCACTGACTGGGTGCCCAGCGGGGACAGGCTGTCCTTCCCCTTCACACACTGGGCCGCGGCGGCTGGGACGGTGAGCAGAGAAGATGCCTCCAGGCTTGGCTTCTGGCTCTGGTCTTGTCGTGGGGCTGGGGGTGTGGCCACCACCCCAGCACGCTGGAGAGCAGGAGCCTCCTGCTTCTCCACACTCAGGTGCGCGTGGCCTTCGTGTGCCCCCCTTGCAGCCAGCCGTACATCGTATGCAGACAGTGCCCCGAGTTCCGGCGGCAGGCGGGCCAGGCCCTCTCCTGCCCAGGGCCTGGCAGCGAGCCAGGGGAGGCACCGGCTCCCGGGGACGCGCCCTCCACGTCCACCAGTGTCACGACAGGTGAGATGCCGCCTTCCGTGCTGTCGTCCTGCTGTGACCACCCAGGATCCAGCTGTCGTTCCAGCGGGCTCCTCTCCCCTTCCTGCCTGACTCCTGTCACTGCCACCACGGCCCTGCCACCTCTCATAACTGCTTGCTTCTCCGGGTCTGTTTTGGGCTGAGAAACCAGAGAGTTAACTTGTTTTCTCGTGGTCCTCTGCTCCTGGGCAGTCCTGGGGGTTTAGTCCTGAACCTGACATTTGGGCAAGATGCCGTCAAGAAAGGGAAAGTGGAAGCTAGAATCTATGTTTGTGGCCCTGGCCATTCTGCAGTTCATGGCCCCACAGGGCCCAGTTTCTTCGAGACTTGTCACAAGGCCAGTGACCCAGGATTGTGACCCAGAGCCGGGTTCACAGCCGTGTGCCATGACGCCATGCTGCGGCTCTCTCCATGGGTTCCTGTAGGCCCTGCGGACAAGCACGGGCAGTGCAATGCCTGGTCACCTCCCGACGCTGCCATCCCTCGGGTGGGCTCTGTCGTTTTCAGACTGCAGATGGAAGTCCCCGGAGGGACGGTGTCTGTAGCAGATGTGTGTGCACAGGCAGCGTCTCCCGTGTGTCCAGGAGTGTCTGGGGGCTGGGCTGTATGGACACAGCTCCCGGGGTGGAGTCAGCCACTCATGCCCACCAGGCCTGTCACTTGTTGGAAGACACAGAACTCACTTTATTGTTTTATCGCGTGTGCTTTATAGTCTGAGGAAACGTTAGAAACCTTCAAGTGAGCTTGAGAATGTTGCTGCAGCCGCTGAGCCGAGAGGTTGCTCTGCTTATTTTCCGTTCTCTTTTTTAAAAGGCTCCTCTCCGATGGTAGGCTGTCGTTTGGCTATTTAAGAAAACAGGTCAGAGTTCTCCCTGGGTGTTCTTGTGGCTGAGTTCCCTTGTGTGCTTTCCAGACACTCCCCTGGATGGGGGTCTAACCTGTTCTATCTGCCTGTGTCCCGGTATGTGCCGCCTGGATATCCTGTCTGTTCCGCAGCCCAGGATTATGTGTGTGCCCTGCAAGGAAGCCATGCCATATGCACCTGCTGCTTCCAGCCCATGCCTGACCGGAGGGCAGAGCGCGAGCAGGACCCCCGCATCGCCCCCCAGCAGTGTGAGTAAGGGTGTGCATGTACACTGCCTGCCTGGGCAACTTCCCCACCACGGAGCCCCTCTTGGGGATCCCTCTAGGCTCAGGTTTCAGAATGGTGTTGACTGCTGCACATGGTGTAAAGACGTGACTGTGTGTTCTCATCCGCAGAATCGGTTGTCTCTGTGCAATCCTATCAAATAACCATCTTTTTCCATTAGTTGGTAGCCTACCCCGTCATAAACCAAGTTTCCACATACGGGCAGTCTCTTTCTGAAGTCTGCATCTGATGTTTGTCCCCACATCAGGACCGTAACATTTCTCTAATATGTCACTTTTTTAAAGAAGATTTTTATTTATTTTGTTTTTTAGAAGATTTTACTTATTTGTCAGAAAGAGCACACACATGCGTTCACAAGCAGGGGGAGTGGCAGGCAGACGGAGGAGCAGGCTTCCCGATGAGCAAGGACCCCCCCATGGGGGACTCAATCCTGGGACCCTGAGATCATGACCTGAGCCAAAGGCAAATGCTCAACCAGCTGAGCCACCCAGGCGCCCCTTTTATTTATTTATTTTAATGAGTACGAGGGGCGCCTGGGTGACTCAGTGGGTTAATCCGTTGCCTTCGGCTCAGGTCATGATCTTAGGGTCCTGGGATCAAGCCCCGCATTGGGCTCTCTGCTCAGCGGGGAGCCTGCTTCCCTCTCTCTCTCTGCCTGCCTCTCTGTCTACTTGTGATCTCTCTCTCTCTGTCAAATAAATAAATAAAATCTTTAAAAAATAAATAAAGAGTGTGTGTGTGCATGAAGGCGGTGGGGGAGGCAGGGGCGGAGCAGAGAGAGAGGCTCTCAAGCAGACTGCCTGCTGAGCAGGGAGCCTGACTAGGGGCTTGATCTCATGATCCTGAGATCATGACCTGGGCCAAAATCAAGAGTCAGACTCCCAACCAACTGAGTCACCCAGGCACCCCTATAATGTGTCACTTTTATACAAAATTTTTTTTTAAGATTTTATTTACTTACTTGACAGAGAAAGATCACAAGTAGATGGAGAGGCAGGCAGAGAGAGAGAGAGAGAGAGAGAGAGGAAAGCAGGCTCCCTGCTGAGCAGAGAGCCCGATGCGGGACTCGATCCCAGGACCCTGAGATCATGACCTGAGCCGAAGGCAGCGGCTTAACCCACTGAGCCACCCAGGTGCCCTAATGTGTCACTTTTAAGTAAAATAGGTGAAAAGCCATGCTTTAATTTGCAGTTGTGGGATTGCTGTCAAAATTGAAAGTGTCATTTATTTAACGGTTATTTGAATTTATTCTTCACTGAAATGGCCTGACTAGCGGCTGTGCTGTGTCCACAGGTGCCGTGTGCCTGCAGCCTTTCTGCCACCTGTACTGGGGCTGTGCCCGGGCCGGCTGCCTTGGCTGCCTGGCCCCGTTCTGCGGTAATGCCGGGTCTTCGGCTGAGTTCTGTGCCTTTGCATGTTCTCTCCGTGCCTTTGAGGGCGGTGACGGGGTGGTGTGGCCCGCGTTGTGGGAGGCCGCCACGAGTGACCCTACTTTGTCCTGACATACTCCATATGTCTGACATTTGGAAGTGTCACTCTGTTGTAGCTCAGAACCAAGCAGTAACAGAGCAGCTACAGGGATAGGAGCTCAGTCGGGAGGGGGTGTCCTTATGCGTGAACAGCCCCACTAAAGACGCCCATTCTGGCCGTGGCCTTGAGTCTTTGCTGCGCCAGACCAGGTGCTCAGGAGGCGGAGAGGGCCGTCCGTTTCAGGAAGGAGTGGAATGGAAGTCGTTTTGCCTGTTCTCTTTTTAAAACCATTTTATCGTGGAACTTTTTATTCTTCTAGACTTTGTAAGAAAGGAAATTTGGTTATCTTAGTGTCAGTGAATGATGCTTTCATAGAGCGTCTGTAAGACGGGTGACTTTGCTTCCCCCTGTTTGGCAGAGCTAGACCTGGGCGACAGGTGTCTGGACGGGGTTCTGAGCAACAACCACTACGAGTCGGATGTCCTCAAGGTAACAGACGGACCTCCCGGGCAGGTGTGGGGGGCTCAGGCCAAGCGAGGCCCCCTGCGGTGTGCAGCTCTGCTAATGGCTCTTCCTGGTCCTGCTGCTGAGTGCGCCACATGGGTGTTTTCCTGTTTCCCCATTTTCCAAAAAGGAGGTATTTCCTTCATGCCCATTACGCCACGAATCTGCAGGACTCGCTCCGGTGCCTGCCCGCTCCAGGCACAGAGCTTTGGAGTCTGGGAGGGGAGTGGGCCGGCCCTCCGGTGGAACCAGGGCCTGTCTCCGGTTTCCTCCTTTCTGACGTTTTCCTTGCCGTGCTTTAGAAGCTGGCCCAGCTCTTAGAAGTTCAGCGTCCGACGTGCGCATCAGTCCCTTGCCAAGAGTCCCGGCTTCGTCCCATTTACATGCAGTGCTGCGCGCACAGGACGTGGGGCCTCTCGCCTGCGCAGCGGGCTCCTCCGCACGCTGTGCTCCACTTACGTGGCCGTGAGCCGTGCGCTCGCACAGACGGAGCCCAGCAGCCGTGTGTCTGCATGGTAGATTGTAGATCCAAACCCGCCACGCATCCTTACGTGGTCATGGGCCTGTTGCTGCCCTAGGGCTGCTTTGGCCGGGGCGGGGTGTCCCACCACTGCTGTGCGAGGACTGTCTTGGCTGAACTTCAGAGGGAATGTGGTGGCGCCCACGTCCAGGCTTCTGAAGCCAGCCCTCCTTTCAAGGCTCCGACGGAGCACCTCAGACGAGAACGCTTGGGCACTAGGTGGTGAGCGTGTCACCGAGTCATGCGTGGGAGGCCCGACCCTCGGGCTGTCCCGGGTGTCCTGCGGCCTCGGAAGCAGACCGCCGCAGCTGCACACAGCGCTCCCCCACAGCCACCCGATGCAAATCCCTGCCGTGCCGAACTTGCCCGGGCTGTGGCTTTACCCACCTTCAAGGGCCTTTTATAAGGTGTTTGCCTTGTCACTTTAGTGTTTCCTCCTCCAAGCTAGTGGCTGAGGTTTCTCTTCTTCCCCGTCACAGAATTACCTGGCAACCAGGGGTTTGACGTGGAAGAACATGTTGACGGAAAGTCTGGTGGCTCTGCAGAGGGGAGCGTTTTTACTGTCCGGTAAGCATCGTCGCACTTGCTTCCCTCTCTCCAGAGGCGCTGGCTTGGCCTCCTTGAAAAGCAGTAACGCCGGCCAGGCCAAGCCCGGGACTCCCACGCAGCTGCCTTCCCACAGGCATAGCCTCGCCCTTCCCCGCCTGACGGAGGCCGACAGAAAGGTGCTGATACCTTGGGTTTTCTGCATGTAAAGTTAGGTCTGAGCCCGCAGGAGGTATTCTAGGGTTTCTCTGCCGTGGGGAGGGGCGGGCCCAGCTGCGGAGACGGGCCGCACCTTCTGTCAGCGTGGAGATCCTGGGGCTGGTGCTTCCCAGATCCTCAGGCTCCTCCTTGGCCACTCACTTGGTGTGTTGCTAACTCGATGTGGGCTTGCCCCGTGTCCCAGGACACCCAGTACACTATGAAATGGGATTTTTGTCACTGCGGGAGAGGGCTGCAGCAAATCAGCAAATGCCTATTTCTTTTTTTTTTTTTTTTAAGATTTTACTACTTTATTTGAGAGAGGGAGAGAGGGTGTATGTGTGCAGGGAGGAGTAAAGACAAAGGGAGAAGGAGGAGGGGAAGGAATCTCAAGCAAATTAGACTCCCCTCTGAGTGCAGACCCCATGTGGGGCTCGATCCAACAACTCTGAGATCATGACTTGAGACCTGAGTGGAACCCGAGAGTCGGACATTCAACCGACTGAGCCCCTGGGCGCCCCAGATGGCCTTTTTTTCTGAGACACACATTATCATGGAAGACTTTAGAAGTTGTTGGGGATGCTTCTACACAGTTCCTGTCTTGTGGACACAGTCTCACGAGCATCTCGGGTGTTCTCTGCAGCAGCCCTGTGGCTGCCCAGACCGATCATCTGAACAGGGCCTGATCTCCATTAGCTTCTTAAGGACTGCTGTCAGGGTGACATGGCTCTCAGAGATGTGTGAGTGACAGAGGGAGGCATGAAGGGTAACGTGATCATCACGGGGAGTCCCGGCAGCTGACACGCAGTGACAATGCTTGGGCGGCCGGGCACCTGCCGCACATGCACACTGTCCTCGTAAATGAAGGCCTGCCACCGTGCTGTCCTGTGGCCTGTTTGCTCAGCACAGTACCTTGACCTGCTTCACGTACCGATTCACGAGTAGAGGATATTAGGGATTTTCTCCTTCCCGCTCTTGGAGCCAGCACTGCAGCTGCTGGGGGAGCATGCGCTCTGGCAGGCTCGAGAAACCGTTCGGCTGGGATAGGTAGGAAGGGTTGTTGCACGGCACTGTGCACAGTTGGGACTCTGCCGTAGTGACTCTCTGCGCAAGGACGTGACTCAGGTGTGAAGGCCAGCATCTTCTAGAGCCCGGCTGCCCTGCGTCTGCCTTTCCGGTCTTGGAAATACAGAACAGGCAAACCGGGCGAATCGTCGTTTTGTCTGCCCGCGCTGGAGCACTAACAGAATTGATGATCTTTTTGTTCCATGGTTCACTAGCCTGTCTCTGACCTTGGCCCATGCTAGGCTGTCTGGATTTGGGGGTCTGGGTTGGTAGGGTACCTTTATTATATAAAGGAGCAACAGGTTGTCATTTGTGTCGCACACGTGTTTTCCACTAATCGATGAGTGTTTTACTTTCAGGGTATGTGTTTCCATTTTCTGTTTAAGTTGTAGGCAGTCAGATTTACAAGTCCTTTCCTGTGTGCTGTTTGGTTTTTGTGACATACTTAGGAATAAGTCAAGAGAAAAATAATACTCATTCCTTTCAGTACTTTAAAAAATTTTTAAGATACTTGAGTTTTTTTTTATCCAGTGGTATTACTTTGCTGTGAGGAAATGAGTTGTTTTCGTTCTCGTTTTCTGAACATCTGGCCCATCGTCTCTGCCCCCCCTCCCGCCCCCGCCCATGTGGATCAGGGCCGGGTGTCCCACGCCTTCGCAAGGCCACAGCTGTTGTGCTGACGCTGCATGCTGACTGGCCTGCCCACCTGAGGCTGTGTCCCTTACAGATTACAGAATCACGGGGAACACCGTGCTGTGTTACTGCTGTGGCCTGCGCAGCTTCCGAGAGCTAACCTACCAGTATCGGCAGAACATTCCTGCTTCTGAGTTGCCTGGTAAGGAAAGGAAGCCCCCTCAGCCCCAGCTCAGTTCTGCTTTGATTGGCTTCTGCGTTCCTTCATGTGATGGGTACCCTGTTTGGGCCTTGGCTCCATGTTCTTAGTGGCTATCTGCCTCAGCAGGGACAAAAATGGGCAGACAGGCTGCATGGGGGCCATGCCTCTTTCCCGGCCATCCTCGCTGGGAGGTCAGCTCAGGCTCTGGGCCTGTCTGCGGGCTTCCAAAACAAGATTCACAAAAGCAACCTGAAAACAGCTGTAGTAGTTTTCTTTTCTTTTTTTTTTTTAAGATTTTATTTGTTTATTTGACAGAGAGAGAGAGAGATCACAAGTAGGCAGAGAGACACGCAACGGGGGAGGGGGAAGCAGGCCCCCTGCTGAGCAGAGAGCCCGATGTGGGGCTTGATCCCAGGACCCCGAGATCATGACCTGAGCCAAAGGCAGAAGCTCAACCCACTGAGCCACCCAGGCGCCCCAGCAGTCTTATTTTCTAAATTGGGTTGGGTTTTTTTGGTTTTGTTTTTTTCCCCCTGAAATCTTGGAACAGGCCAAGGACACTAGTTATAAAGCATGACAGATGCCATGGCTTTTCTGCTGCTGTTTGTCGCCTGGGGTCATAAATTCACACAGCTGAGCTTGTGAGTGTGATGTGCATCACAGATAACGTTGTGTTTCCTCTTCCTAGTGGCTGTGACTTCCCGTCCTGATTGCTACTGGGGCCGCAACTGCCGTACTCAGGTGAAGGCCCACCACGCGATGTGAGTGAGACCGCGCTGCCAGGCACGGGTCCTTGGGGCTGGGAAGGGGCGCCCACGTGGTCCTCCTGCAGAAAGGCACACCCCTGTTTTCCTAACAGGAAGCTGATTTTTTTTTCTTTTAAAAGTTTTGGCCAAGTTGATAGCTCAGCTTGTAAGGATGTTCATGAACTGGTTAATTATTTACTTGTAAATAGGCTAATTTCGCCATTTTATTTGTCTAAAGTCACGTGGTGTATGAAACAGTGCTGTTGTTTCCGTGTTCCGTAGAACACAGCCGTCCGTCCCCGCTGACGCACCAGTTAGCGCTTTCTCAGTCGGTGCCTGGGGTCGGCGCCCTGCTCTGTCTTTGGTGCCGTGAGCAGGTGTCTGTGATGGCTCTAACTCAGTGACTCACTGGGCATTTCCCGCTCACGGAGACATCCGCCTTGCCACATGGGGTTGTCTGGAGGTGTAGGTGAGGCGATGCTGTCAGTCAGTCTCACAGACTGATGTCGGAGGAGGCCACGAGGATCCCCAGTCATTCATGGTTTAAGTCAAAGTCACTGAGAGTGTGCCCTTAGTGCAGGGGACAAGGGCCCCAAGTAAAGGCTCCCTTGGAGACTGATGCTATGGAATGAAACCCTTGTTTTGTATTTGAGCATAGCGTGTGGGAGACTGTTTTGGTACAGAGAAGGGAATTTCACGAGCAACTTGTTAATCTTTCTTAGTGAAAACATTGGTGAGGAAAGCAAAGGCACCCCTATCTTCCTCTGGGGCTGTCCTGCCCGTCACGAAGGGAGGTAATGGTGCTCTATGCCAGCCGGCAAGTCTGTCGGTCCCGCAGGGTGGTCCCTGGTGGACCACCATGTGTCTGTGGAGACACTGAGGAGGCTTAGAGTTTGAGTTCTCTCTAAGAAAATGACCTAAAAATGTCTGACTTCTAAAATTTAAAGAAGAAGGTGTAGGGGTTAATTTCTTTGATGGTACTAAAAATACGCCACTGCGAGCGCCCCGTATGCGGTCAGCTTCTCGTCAGGTTCTCCCAGCGTGTGAGTTCAGGATCCGCTTCTGTGAATACTTTGTGGTAATTTCACTCTTTTCTCCCTGCAGGAAATTCAATCACATCTGTGAACAGACAAGGTTCAAGAACTGAGCATCTAGGAGGCACCAAGGTGGCTTGGGGGTACCGGAGGTCAATGACAGCGTTTCAGAAAATACTGGCTATAGACATTTTAAGGGTATCTTATAGTCCCCAGGGGATGCTGGGGGTCTCTGTGTCCGGCACTGTAGTGTGACGACTCTTGTGGAGTGAGACCTTCTTAGTGAGACCCCCCAACCCACTCCAGTGGCCTGGGAAGCCTGGGGCACGACCCACCCCTCCTCTGAGCTCTGCTGCCCGGAGCACTTCTGGCCGAAGCACCGCTGTCGCCGTCCCCTCCCATTGAGACGATGACGTTCAGGTTTGCTCTCTGTACCTTTCCCAAAACTATGGTTCCAACAGACCTCTCTCTCCAAGAAAGCTTTCGTGGAGGGACAAGGGAAGTCTGTTGTTGAAAGGAAAGGGAGCAAAAGTTTACAGCCCGCGGGACACCCCGCAGCGGGTTTGGCCACGGCTGCTGAGACCTCTTTGTACTAGATTTGGTGCTTATCTTCTAGTGAGATTTATCACAAACGGTAGCACAAGTAATATAATTTATAATTTACAAATTGACTAAAATTGGAATAGTAGGGTATTTGAAAGAATAAACATACGTTTCTGTTTATTAGAAAAAGAAAAAATCAGATGTCCAGAACTGCTAACCCTAGACACCCAGCGTCAAGCGTGGGGCCCTGTCCTAAGAGAGCAGAAGTGGGGCACTGCCACCGTGAGCCTGCCGTGGAACCGGGCCTTGGCGCCTGCTTGTCGCTCTGTTAGCACAGCAGCTCCCGTCCGAGGCCCCACCGTTCTTCCCGAAGGCTGGGTGGGCCCCGCTGGTGCCCAGCCCACCTGGAGCAGCCCCTCCCCCGAAAGTTCGAGAAGCCTTTGCTTCTACTAGATCTGATCTGCGTTGGGTTTGCCATGTCATCTGGAATAATACTTGAAATTTTGTTCTTTGTTAAAAAAAATACGTTTTTTATCTTTTGTTGAAATCATCTGTTATTTTTGTTTGCAAAATTGTAACTTTTTGCTTCTTCTCAGGAATAGGATTTTCAACTGTTGTCTTGCTCTTGATATGGACTCTGAGAAGCAGCGCTGTGTTTGTGGAAGAGGCCTGCTCCTCCCTGCATTCTAATAAACAAGCCGTGTCTGTTTCTCTCCCCCGCGCGCTGGTTCGAGTGTCGGCTGCCATGTGCTCCTTCCTGTCACGGTGGGCAGGCTGCAGGTGTCGCTGGTGACCGCCTGAGAGTCCAGCCAGTAGCCCTGCTCTCAGATGAGCCACGTGCAACACGGGGCTGCCCGGGGTCTGAAGACTCGGTGGAAGGGGAAGGGCCTAGGGTCTCACGGCTCCACCAGCCCCAGGTGTCGGGCTCTTGGCTGCATGTTGAAGCTGGGGTTTTGTGTCCGAGCCCTGCGCTCAGCCTGTGCAGGAGGGAGGCCTGCCCTCCCATCTTAGGGCCCGGCCTCATCACTCCCTTCCCTCCCAACAAAGTAAGAACAAAGATGTAGCTCTCTCAAAAGATATCCCAGCTTTTTAAACCTGGGTTAGAACGTGTGACTTCCCTCGGGCCGCACTGGATCCTCCCGTGAAGGACGGACACGCGTCACGTTAGACGGTGGGCTCCCCGGCGCGTGGCTGACCCTGCTGGACTTGGGCTCCCCGTTCTAGAGCACACGGGAGGAGCTCGGGGCCGGGGCGGTTGTTCCCTAGGCTGTTTCGCAGTGCGCTCAGGATGTTGTCATGACTTCCTGTTCGTCAGCACCCTCCCACCCCCCTAGCAGCCGGGCCGCAGTTGGGCTGGAGCCCTCTGTGTGTGTGTCGGCGGCACAGGCCGCCTGGGTGTGAATGGTCAGCTTGGGACTCTGTGTACTTGTCTGCAGGTACTTGGGACCAGCCCTGGCACGGGCCCAGCCGGGCCTCTGCCTGCTTCCTGCCAGCTCCACCTCCCGCAGCCTCGCCCTGCCCAGCCCCAGGCCCGGGTCCCTCTTGGGCTCTGTTCCCCCCACTCAGAGGAGGGCCCCACCCTGCTCACGCCCACATCCAAGGTGTCCCCTCCTGGCCTGAGGGTCTGAGCTGTGAGGAGAGCTGCGCATCCGTGGAGGACCCTCACTGGCCGCAGCCAGAATCCAGCAACTAGTGTGATCCCGCAGCGCTGACAGGGTCAGTCACAGGCCCGGATGGGAGAGCAGCGGAGTGGTGTGGGCGGCTTTTGCTGCAGGGAAGCAGCCAGACGGGGAGCGGAGGTGGAGGGGTCGTCACGCAGCCCGCAGAGAGGAGGCCCAGAGAAGCCGAGCTCCAAATCAGGATGGCTGTGGTGAACGGGGCAGCTGGAAGCCAGCCTCAGGCCTGAGGGAGGAAATGAATGGGGGACGGATGGGGTTTAGAAAGCCCAGCGCAGATCTACAGGTGTGGCTGGACGCAGGACGCTGTGCTAGAACCCTTGCTCCCTTTGTTTATGGCCTCAGCTTCCATCAAGCAGAAATCGGTGAACTTGCCCACTGCTTCAAATGGAAACTCATGCCTGACCTGATCACTGGTGGGCCAGACCAGAGGCTCCTGCCACCACCTGGGCGGTCAGCACTCCCACGGGCAGGTGGGCCCCCTCAGGCAAGAGGAAGGGGAGTGTCACGGGTTGTCATCAGGAATGCAGATGGGCTGCTGGGCAGCAGCTCTGGGGCTTAAACCCGGCAGGCCAGTCAGCCTGCTAGACCCTCATCCTGCGGAGGCCTGACCCTCAAGGGCACTGTGCTGGCAGCCGCCTGGAGGGAGTGCCCGGCAGGTCTCAGGTACTCCTCTTGGAGATGCCAGCTGCCGTGTGAGGCAGGGACATGGAGGAGCCCAGACACACTTGCGGGGAGATTCACAGCTCCCTGCAGAATTAATTCCAAGGACCTTGATGCACATGGAGTGCAGCCCAGTCAGGCCACAGTCACTCTGTCCTGTCTCTCAGGACACAGGCATATGTGCGTTCCCTCCTGCTCTCAGCCGATGTCCCAGCTAATCGGAGGGGCCTGAGGGAGACCCACTTCTGAAGATGGACCAGCTGAAGGCAACCAGCCCTGCCGTGAGCCCTGTGACCCGCAGAAGAGCTGCCTTGCCAGCTCCCAGGAGACAGTCCTGGTCTCAGGAGTGTTGCCACCCAGTAATTTGAGGACAGCCATTTAAAAATCATGAAAATTTGGAATTCCTAAGTCACTTCAGAAGCCAAGGTGGTAAGCACTCAGGACTCCTCTCTTCTAATGAATTCACTCCCCCTGCCCATCACGTGTGCCCTCCCGGCCCTCTGCATCGATGTGTCTGCATGATGTAGGCGCTTTATGATGGTGTGCACCTCAAGTTCGTGCATGAATTTTACCCTGCTGGGAGGATTCACACCATAGAAATTGAGAAATGCTACAAATCAGGTTCGTTCTTATTTATTCTGGAGAGAAGTTTGTTAAACACCAGCACATGACTGCACCTAACTATGGGAACTAATACAGTTTGAAGCCACCGTGTTTTGGGGGGTTTGTCACATAGCAAAGAGTAACTGTCATGGCCCACAAAGGCCTAGGACTGGGTGGCCCTGCCCCTCCCTCAGAAGCTCCCCTTCTGCCCACCCCATCTTCAGGGCCCTCTGCTTAGGCCTTCTCAGGGGCACAGTGGCCGCAGAGCACCAGATGGTCCTGTCTTCCCATCACTCAGGGCTCAGTTCAGATCCCCTCCTCAGAAGGGGCACTCTCATCATGCCACCCTCCAGCCAGCCATGTAGTGTTCACCTGTTTGGTTTTCTTCCAGTGCCTGTCATTATGGGAAAGTAAACACTTGCTTACTGCTTGTCTCCCCTCGATGACCCAGAGCAGGATCTTCCTGCCTTGTTCGCTGTCAAGCGCTTGCTCAGCACAAACCTCGGGCCCGGGCACGCATCTCACAATCGCTGGCCGACTAGTTGGCTGCTGCTTGAGTGCGCGGATGAATGCAAAGGCTCCGCTGAGGGATCACTTGGCAGGATCCTCCCCAATGCGTGGTGGACTGCTCCTTCCTGCCTCTCTGTTAAGCCTCACTCTCCTTTTCTTTTTTTTTTTTTTTTAAAGATTTTATTTATTTGACAGAGATCACAAGTAGGCAGAGAGGCAGGCAGAGAAGGGGAAGCAGGCTCCCTGCTGAGCAGAGAGCCCGATGCGGGGCTCGATCCCAGGACCCTGGGATCATGACCTGAGCCGAAGGTAGAGGCTTTAACCCACTGAACCACCCAGGCGCCCCTCCTTTTTTCTTTTTAAGATTTTACTTCTTTGAGAGCAACTGAGCAGGAGCAGAGGGGAGGGGCAGAGAGAGAAGCAGACTGCCTGCTGAGCAGGGAGCTCAATGGGGACTCAATCCCAGGACCCCAGGATCATGACCTGAGCTGAAGGCAGAAGTTTAGCTGACTGAGCCACCCGGGTCCCCTCACTATTTTGTTCATGTATGTTTGTCTCCTTTGAAGATGATGAGCCTGGAACTCATCAGTGGCTTCCCATCGCCCTGGCAGACCCCCTCCCACTCTGAGTGTGCTGACTCCTTTCCAGTAAAGCTCTTCCCCAGACCCTTCTCTGCCCGCCTCTTTGTCAGACAAGCTTAGCTCAGCTATAACTTCCTCAAGGAACTCTTTGAAAACAGGGTTCTCCTTGCTCTTCCCTTGCCTGAAACGCTTCCCCTCGGTGACCTGCACAACTCCCTACTTGGCTCATGTGTTCGCTCACTCATCCGAGGGCCTCCCTAAATCGCAGCACGCCTCTGCACCCTGTTTCCTTACCCTGCTCTTTTCCCAGCTCTTCATCTCTTGTCTTGCGTTTCCGTGTGTGTCCGGTTGTCCAAGTGGATGTAAGCGCCTGTGACTGCAGGGGTTGTGTAGTGTCTCGAAGAGTGCTTGGAGTACAGTAGGCCGCAATGAAGACCGAGTTAACGACTGATGTAATTGGTAGCCCCTCCCACTGACACAGCTTCCTCCGCATGAGTGATGCCCTGGAGGGCTGGTCTTCCCCACACAAACAGAGCTGGACTGGAGGAGGGATCCTGTCTCCTGGTCCCCAGCTAAGGGGGAACATTGGAACATTGACCAGCACATGCAAGGCACTGGAATGTGTCCGCCAACGGATGGGTTACAAGATGTGGGTTATCTAGGCAGGGCAATATTACTCATCTGTAAAAGGAAGAAAGTTCTGGTACGTGCTGAAAATGATCAAATCAATCTCGAAGCCTTTTGCTACTTGAGAGAGAAGGCAGTCACAGTATGTCACGTATGACGTGATTCTTTTTATATGAAATGTCCAGAATAGACCCATCATAGAGACAGAAGGTGAGTTACTGGTTGTCAGGGGAAGGGGTGTTGGGGACTGCATGCATATGGACTAGAGGGGCACTTGAGGGTTATGGAAATGTTTTATTACTGCATTGAAGTAAATCCAATTTTATTTGCTAAAATATAAATGTAACTGCAAGTTTAAAAATTGAATTGTACACATTAAAAGGGTAAATTGAATGTAAATAACACCTTGATAAACTTAAAAGTTTTACTTA